TGGTTTTGTGTTGCTCAAGCATTAAAGCAACTCCTACCAGAAGAAGAAAGAAAACTTAATTATGCCGTCCAAGATTTTTTTAATACTTATAAAAATAAGTGCCGAAATATGCGTTAAAAAGTGTTCACGGTTCGATCGGTGTGACGGATACAGTTCATACAGCCATTATGCGCTGAAACAAAAACAAAGATAAAGTACCTAAGATAAAAACTTTAATATTTTATTTCGTCACGTGGGCATGTCCGTTTGGTATTATTAACATTTACATATGACAACAAGATAAAAAAAAGAATTTTTGATTTTTTTTCTCTCTCTACTTTCATGCTAAAGTTTATATAATTTTTATGCATATAGCTAAATCAGTTGGAGATAATTTCATTAACAAGAAGAAAAAAAAAGTATTCATTATCTTTTGTGTCATTTAATTCAAGGTTCGATAAAAAAAAAAAACAGTTTGTGTGTTTTGACTCAATTGATCTTGTTAATAAGTCTGACCAGTTCTTAGTTATAGAAACTGGATTTGTTAACACACAAGTACAGAATGATAAACGTTTCGTATTTTCTCCGCCAGGACCACTGTTAACAAGTTCAATTACTATAACTTAGACTTATTCTTTCCCACACTGGTATTCGTGGAAGTCATTATGATTTTCTGACGAGATCATCATAAACCCAGTAAGCTAGGAAAGGATCTCCAAAATATCATGCAGTATCGCCCAAAGGATTTACTTCACTTATTGGTGATTGTGTTGTGTAATTACATTTGACCATTGTGTTTAAATTGTCGTTTTTGTTTAAATACAAAGATGCGCTGTGTACATCGTAGGGCCCGAACTCCGAATTTAAGCGTTATATGGCCCGATCCTGTCGCTGGGCCACGTTGGGGGGGGGGGGAGGTTGATTAAAATCTGACTTTTTTTCAATAACAATGACAACAAACAGTTAACAACTGGTGTAGTTACTACACCTGTTAATATTTGGTATATGCGGTCTTAGATAAGACGTACAAACTATAAATATTTTACACTCAAGAATTAATTTGCATTGATCGTTAAGTATGAAATATTTATCGCATTCCATTGAAATAGACCATTTTAATATGCATGAGTTTTCTCATGTAAAAATTACTTTCTTAGGAAAAGTGTATAACATTGATTTACTCACCGAAAAAAAGGAGTATTCTATATTAAAAAATAGAATTCTTTATACCCTTACGGTTTAAACCAGGAATTTCAAATAAAACAATTTAAGTAAAAATAATTGCGTTCATTTGTTTTAAAGAAAACGAGGGTAAAGGTAAACAATGTTTAAAATGGATATTTTTTTTTTAAATATGCATTTAGATTCTCTTTACACTAACACTAATACCATTGTTAACGATATTATTAAGAATATGATAACAAAATAAGATATTTATCCTATAATATCATAAGTTTTGAATTTTAAAATATACATGTTTAAGAAATTATTTAGGATTTGATTAAGTTCAGATTAATTAGGAAATATTTCCTAATCGTAATAATACCAAGAAAGTAAATTGAGAAAAATAGTTTATTGTTATAGATTTCAAACATAAGTTGTACGATGACCTTTTTTTTTTGCCTTCAATCATATATATAACAATGTTTAAAATAAAATATGTCCTACAAAAGGATTACAGCCGATTGTTAGTTTCAGATATGATACTCCAATACCATATTTTATTTTAATTATAAACAATTTATTGAAAGTCATAATTCAGAAGATACTGATAATTTACCGTGCGAATATAATAATAATTTTGCGGATTCTTTTCATAAGCATATTATTATTGGTGATCTGAATGTGATCAGAGATATTGATCTTATAAATATTCTAAAAAATAAACTATATTTAGAATTTTAAATAGTGTAAGATACAGAGAAAAATAATAATGAACATATTGTCAAAATTAATAAAAAATGTTGGTTTCCTCTACGCTTTATTTATTATAACAGCATAAAGAAGTTAAATTTATCTAGTTGTACTCTAGATATTCTGTTTTAACTTTTAGAAAATATATAAAATTCAAAAACAGTTTGTGATTATCCCAATTGATAAAGCTAATAGCAGCTTTTGATTTGTATAAGAAATGAAATTAATACTACAAAAACTTTTACTAAATTTACGTCTGAAAAAATGCAATTAGTAACAACTTACTGAAAGCTATTAAAAAAGGAAATACCTTTTTATTATAAATATTTAAATTTACGTTTCTTATATGCAATTCCTAAATTACATAAAACCCCGAGTTCAGATTTATTACCAATTCATTAAATACTATCACATGTTAGTAATATCACAAAATGTATGAGGAAACCAATTACACTTTAATTTGCTTCAAAATTTATGTACTTGGAACTGTTTGTTGTTCATGTGCAAATAATATAAGCTCTGTCAGGACATATGGGGTACAGGATCAGTGAATATCTATACATACTTGGTTTATAGTTACAATACCACGTACAAGTTATCGTGTTCTGCATAAAGTTTTATTTTATTATGGCTAGATTTGCAGGCCTAACTATATGTTTGTATGAGTTTTTTTTTTCTCATTCGAGGTTCTGTTTTTGGTCACCATAATAAAAAACTAGGAATATTTCACAGAAAAACGAGAAAAAAAACATTCTCGGTTTTTACAGTTGTATGGATATGCTAATTGATCGCATGTAAATCTGTTAGATCGAAGTAATATTATATTTATTGATCATATAGGCTTAATTAACCACAAGTGATAGGAAGTATACATTTCCGAAATCCAATTCATTTTTGAGTACTCCTTGTCGTAGAGAATGAGTTTTGTAAACAATGGTATACAGTTAACTGCTATAATAGATACATATAGTGCGAAACATCCTTAAGTTAGGGTTGAGAAGCTTCTATCTGTGGTAATTATGATTGAATCATTATTTATTCAGCCTTTGAGGAAGCATCACAATTGTTAAAAAATATAACTTCTAACATCTAAATTATGATAATTAAAAACAAGCAACGCTATAAGGAGAACAAGGTAGGTTACCACAATCCAAAAATATTTTTTTAAATCTCCGCTTTTAAGTTTATCATAGCTATAAAGTGTACATTACTCTCTAGATGACACTTTGACTCTCAATTCTCCTGGGGTCCGTAGAACCATCTCCATCACTAGCTTAATCTTGTCTCTGTGATCAAGAGACTTAAATGACAAGCTTCTTATGAGGTGAGCCAGGACAACCTTTTCTTCAATCATGGCGAACTTCTGACCTGAAGTAAACAAAGTACAGAACTTGAATAGCTGTAACTACAGATTATAAAATCTAAAGAAACGACGATTCCAAAATATGTGAATAAACATTACTAATTTCCATTTACAAATGTGGTCCAAGAAGATGTTTATATACATGAATATCCATTACTAATTTTGAACTATAATTACGGTTCAGTAAGATGTCTCTCTATATATGAATCAGCATTACTAACTGTTGACTCAAGTAATTATTTCACTTTTATTAAAACTAACAATAAGATGAATTGAGGAACTAGTTTTCATTATATATGCTTATTAGGATCAACACACCTGGAAAATACTCTGTTAAACTATCAATAACCATCCCATATCTCCGTGTGCAAGAAAAGTCTTAATGTCGAGTAATAACTGTGTTCAAAGGTTATTTATAGTTAATGTTAAATTACGAAAACTCTATATTGTTATGTTTTGCATGCAGTGTGGTCAATGCTGTGAAGGTTACTTTCAATAAATGATTTCGGTCCGTGTTAATTGAAGAAAAAAAACGAACTGTTAACAGTATTAGCAGTTTTACGTATAATGTTTCATTGCCCTATACACCTTAAAAATCACTGAGGTATATTGCACTGAAACATAATGATATTTTCTAAGAAGTTTTCAACATCCAGAGAATTCGGTATGAAGAGATTTAGTGGTTACTTATTAATCCCTTCAAGTTTTAGCTCTTATTTACAAGGGTCTTTATAGTACCAAATCTCGAGGCCTTAAAATTTAAAAACATTAATATTCGTTTTTCGATTTCGATTTAAAAATCTCGAAGAGAAAATAGCCTCTCTGTATTTTCATTTTAAAAAATGTTTGTGGGCTTTCGTCATTATTAAACTAAACTTCCCATTTTTGATCTTTTGATTTTTTTTAGAAATATTCTAATTACAATTCGTTAAAATGAAAACATCAGTTTCAAATAGGTTAGTATATTCGAGTGAGTTCGTTATATAATATGATTCTGATTTTGTCATGTGAAAAGCATAATCGATGTAAAGTCGCGATGAAACGGAATGTATCAGTATTACGTTTTGACATTATTTAGCGTTAAATAAGTAATGTAATGCCACCATAAATTGATCACTTTTGGGTGGGGTATGTAATAGCCCTTTCCAATGAAAAAATATTCATACCCTCAGATCATATGGATGGGTTCAAATCAGGAATTTGTAATTTCTAAGACAGGGACATCTCTTGTATTGAATGCCATTAAAAACCAAAAGACTATGGAACAACTTGGAAAAACAAGGTCCAATCAGCAAGAGACTCACAAGTCGTGCCCCAGTCATGGTAAGCAAAGTGCAGCGTCTTTTATTAGGTGAAAATCCACGAACACACACGTCAGTAGCAAAAACAGGTCATGTGCCTCAGGCAACGGTACGCAACATAATCATGTAGGACCTTCGCCTGGAAAAGCGATACATGTAGCATGTACACACGTTGCTTCCGTGACATATCGGTCAAGTCTCCAGATGTAACGTCCATGGATTTTTCTTTGATTGGACAGTTAAACAGGGCGCTGGGAAACCATCATTGTCATAGGCTAGACGTATTACGGAAGGTCCTCAGGGAGGAGTAGAGTGCTTTGGACATCACAAACTTATGACAAACCCTATGCAATATAGAATACACTGTAAGACTATTTTCAAGATGCACAGCCATCAAATATAACATGACGAGAGCACACTTGGTGGCTCAGCAGTAAGACCTTAAAGCTAAAAACGCTGAAAATCGGGATTCGATCTACGCGGTGGGCACAGCACAGATAGCTCATTGTATAGCTTTGCGCTTAACAACAACCAAACATGACCGGACGTGGCGACATAGACTGTAACGACATGGTAACTCTCTAAAATCGTTATAACGTACTCAACCTCAGTGTTTAAAAGGCTATTAAATAATAGTAGCTGTCTTCTTTATTGTAATTAATTTTATATTAAGGTATTAGAGCTCTCTTAAACCTCGATCAGTACTGACAGCGAAGTATTAATTTATTTTGAATGGACTTATCTATTGCAAAATTATTTTGTACTTTACACGTAAACAAATTAAAAAAAAATCAATGTTAAGTTTAAATTTGGTTTAAAAGGGCCTAAACCTTTTAGACAAGTGAAGGCTTTTGTAAAACAAAATTACGCTTGTAAAAGAAGGAATCGTTATTTTCAGCTTTTTTTGTTATTATTTTTTGCTAGGAATACTACAAAATCTCCTCTTAATGTAGGTTTAATATAAACGAAAGTAAAACATATTATTAACACTGTTTTTACTTAGCATAATCGTGTTACATGTTATTCAAAAACCTAAATCATAATAAATGTTCTTTACGATTGTTCAGGTTATGCAAAATTTCCCTGAAAATTTGTTTTTTTTTGTATGTAAAACTTTTATAAAACAGAAAGAAGACAAATGTTTCTTCGATTACCATGTAACGTTATTCAAGAAGACAAATGTTTCTTCGATTACCATGTAACGTTATTCAAGAAGACAAATGTTTCTTCGATTATCGTGTAACATTATTCAAGAAGACAAATGTTTCTTCGTTTACCATGTAACGTTATTCAAGAAGACAAATGTTTCTTCGATTACCATGTAACGTCATTCAAGAAGACAAATGTTTCTTCGATTACCATATAACGGTATTCAAGAAGACAAATGTTTCTTCGATTACCATGTAACGTTATTCAAGAAGACAAATGTTTCTTCGATTACCATGTAACGGTATTCAAGAAGACAAATGTTTCTTCGATTACCATGTAACGTTATTCAAGAAGACAAATCTTTCTTCGATTACCATGTAACGTTATTCAAGAAGACAAATCTTTCTTCGATTACCATGTAACGTTATTCAATATAATTAAAAATACTGATAGTTATATTATCCAATAACATACAAATATCGCTTACAAATTAAAGTGTAAGATTCGTCTGTAATTAAACACAAAGCTACACAATGGGCTATCTGTACTCTGCCCACCACGGGTATCGAAACCCGGTTTCTAGCTGTGCCACTGGAGGGGGGGATAGAGGGTAAGAGGAAGCTTCGAATATATTCGTGTGTGAACAACCAATCCGACTTTTATTTTACCTCTTTTTTTTTAATAAAATTATTGTCCCTCGGTACGTCAGCGGTAAGTCTACAGTTGTACAACACTAAAATCCGGGGTTCGATTCCCCGCAGAAGATAGCCCAATATAGCTTTGTTATAAAACAAATAAGCAAAATTATTTAATTCGTATTTTAATAATTTATAATGTGTATAACTTCTGTTTGTTCAGTTTTCATGCACTGAAGCAATTACTTACAAAAGTTTCGTGGTGAATCACAATGAAGAAAATACATGTAACAAGCCAATACAATTAGAGAAAGTATAAATTAATTAAGAACAATACCTATACAGTTTCTGAAGCCGCCAGAAAAAGGTATGTATGCGAATGGATGACGATCTTTGGAGTTTTCGGGTAGAAATCGATCAGGATCGAACTTTTCAGGATTTGGATAGATTTTGGGATCGCGGTGTAACATATAGGGAAAAATTATGCAAGTGGTGCCCGCTCCAACGTTGAAGTCTTCTAAAATACAAAAAAAAAAAGTAGTGTTGTACATGTGTCATGAGATTGAGTTATCAATAGGAGAAGTGTTCACATTTAGAATAGTAATATTGTCCAGAACAGGGATCACTTGATGAACGTTTACCAAAACTTCGGAATAAACGTTTTTTTTTTATTGTTTTTACTACTGGTTGGGGTCAGATATGAATACTTCTCCAAGTAAAAATAGTTATATATATATATATATATACTGTAATCATTAAAAAATTAGTAACTTTCTAAAATATATATAGCATATTATATGCCACTAAAATGTATTTTAATTTTATATATTAGTTGAATAAATATTTCTAAAGTTGATAATAGTAAACTAATACTATAGTTTTATATATAGATATTAATACCACATATATTTATTTGGAACTCTGTCTACTATTATTTGTAACCAACACGTAAGTACACCTTGCACGTTATACAATTCTTCGATATACGGACTTGCTAAAATAAAAATAGGCTAAATTTATAGTGAGAATCATGGTAGGAAAGTGGTTACTGTTTGGTGATCTTCTAGACGTACTTACAAACTTCAGGATATTGACTATCACTTAAATCACATAAAGGGTTTTCATGTTAGATCACAGAGGATTTCTGTCAAAAGTAAGGGTTCTGTAAGTTATATAAGGGAAGAGCTTAAAGTTTTATGATTTGAGATAAACACGACGATTATTAATGTTAGACAAATGAGATATATAAAGACTGACGTGTCACTCCAGTCACATGAGAAAACTGTATATATCAATTGGATAAATATTTCCAAGACTAATATTAGCTAAAGAAAGACTTAAAGACTGAAATATTATTTTAATTAGGTGAGAAAGTAATAAAAGGGGACTTAAGAGATTAATCTATTATTTCACTCAGGTAGCAGATTGCATAACGTTCTACGAAGAAGGAATTGTTTCACTTCCATAAGGAAGTTTGTTACCGTGAGACTTCAGACTCACCTATCATATCAACCACATTGGAAGGCTATTTACGGTAGATAAAGAAGTGACTGTCCGATTATTTAGTTCAGGATATAAATTTATTAATGTTATTTACAATTGGATAATTGCGTAACTTCGTTCTCTAAAAAAGATGTGATTGGAGTGTCATATTAAAATTAAACACCATGTTGGTGAATGAGTGAGATTTTACACCCCTAAGAGTGTAAATGCATAAAAATATGCAACAAACGAATGTGAACAGTTGTGAATATACATCTCTTTAAGATAATTCAGATTTGACATTAAGAATTTGTATCATTCCTGCAACTACATTAAACGGAAGTTGTTTCACAAAAAATAAAAAAGAATATTATATTTATAACGTTAATTTGAAAAATATTATATTATTTAATATAGAATGAGTAACTAAATATTCCATTACAATACGCTATTTTGTCAAGAATTAAAAAACAAAATCCGACGATTTTTGGTACAATGAAAGATAAAATAATTATTGTTGTTATAGCCGACTAATTTCGGTAACACGGTTATTATTTACATATACACCAGCTCTGATTATGGTAACTGTGTTACCGAAATTAGTCAGCTATAACCAATAATAGATTTTACCTTTCACTGACCCTAAAAAAAGATCGGATTTTGTTATTTTTACTCTTAATACATAAGCAAAATGTGTATGAAAAAATTACTCTATTTTGGTATTTAATCTAACTTTTTGATTACAAAAGTTTTGGTTGTTTCATGTGTTAACACTAACAAGCTAAATACTTACTGATCATCAAATCTTCTTCTAACTCTCTTGCAATGAAAGGAGCCGGAGGATAAAGTCGGTGTGATTCCTAGGTTTGTTTACAAATATCAACATGTTAGCTACTTTTTCTGATCAAAGTCAAGTTTTACCCAAATATTCATACTCCTTTATTATGTTTCTTTGCATGTTATTCAAATCCAGTTTCAGAAAACACATTCTAATATACATTAAACTGCATGACATTTATAATGGCGTTGATATTTTGCATTTCAACGTTTTATAATTCAAGAAATCATTACAAACACAAATCCATCAATTGTTTGTTTGTTATTAAGCACAAAGGTACACAAAGGGCTATCTGTGCTCTGCCCACCACGGGTATCGAAACCCCGTTTCTAGCAGTATAAGCCACTGGGGGGGGGGGGCATATCCATTAAACTTTATAATCATGGATACTAACAGTGACAAAAAATAAAAACTTACATAGACTTTTTTAACACATTATACACAATTATATAACACTACAAATACTTTTAACTATTCATATGGATATGTTTTTAAATTGAAGATAACTGAAATACATACACACATATTAGCTCTGATATAAGAAAATCTTAATACTGACTACTTTTTTTATACTCGTTATTGGTACGCTATATAAATCTTTTTAGTAACTTTTAAAAACTCAATAAAATCATTTAAAAAGTTATGAAAAAATAACAACAGAAACACATCAAATGAAACTATTTTAATAATTTTAATCTTGGTTTTATGTATAGATATTCAACCTACAATAAACATACCCACCATTTATTATATATATCTCTGTATATTAGTGTACTATAATTATAATGGAGAAATATAATAGCTTCCATATGTCAAAAGAATTATACAACACATCGAATGGTCTCATTTTGTTGAACATTTGCGAATTTCTAATAATAAACTCTAAATTTTTGTATGGTATTCCTTTTACATGATTTTATTAAATTTTCTATAAAAGTTTAATTTTGATTCAAGCACACACACTTAAATCAAATCACTTTTCATCAACTGTATTTTACATATTGCTTATTAATGGGAGACAGAAACACATTTTCTTGTAAAAAAAAATACATATGAAGAATTGACAAGATTCAAGTTATTTTCATTACACTGTTTACTGCTTTTATCAATATTATTGTACAATAACAAGTAATCATCTAAGGAAAAATGTCATTATATTTTTGACATCATTTGCAAATATTCAACATTCACCATCAATGACGGAGTCAAGTAGGTTATTAATAAATAAAAGAAGCATCGACATCTTGCATTAAATCCTTGAGGAACCCCTGATGAACTAATATGAACATTTATTAATAAAAATATGAAACATCAATAGTCCTGAATTATATCCTTAAGAAAACTCTTATGTTTACTAGCTATACAAATATTAATATACAAAAGAAACGACAATATTCCTATATTAGATCCTTAGAAAAATTAACCAACATGTTTACTAGATTTATATAATTATAGGAAACATCAATAGTCCTTGATTAGATCACTGAAGAATCCCTAACAAACTAATATATTTAATAGATATGGAATTATTAATAAGAATAAGAAACAACAATATTCCAGGATTAGATTCTTTAGGAAACTTTCACAAACCCTTACGTTTACTAGATATATAATCATTAATAGCTATAGGAAACATCAATAGTCCTAGATTAGATCACTGAATAATCCCTAACAAACTAATATATTTAATAGATATGGAATTCTTAATAAAAATAAGAAGCATCAATTGTCCTGGATTAGATCCTTGAAGAATGTCTCACGAACAAATATCTTTATTAAATATGTAATTATTAATAACTATAAGAAATGTCAATAGTTCTGAATTAGATCCTTAACACGTTGGCTGCCATGTGCCCCACCGGTGGGTCACAATCGACTTTTAATTATGGACTGCGTAATACACCAGTAGGTCACAGACAATTATGTTTCAAAGCCAAATTTATCTTGTGGCATATGAGTTTTGGACACTGTGACTGCTCCTCGGTACTTTTACCATGTTTATTTTTATTTATACTTAATTTATTATGTGGCAGCCAACGTGTTAGGGAACCCAAGATGAACTAATATATATATTTATTAACAAATACGAGAACTACTTGTTTTAGAGCAAAGTCACGTTGAGATATCTGCCGTGGGGATTCGAACCCCGGATTTTAGCGTTGTAAGTCCATAAACTTACTGCTGTCCCACCTGGGGATAATATATATGAGAAACACCAATACTTCTGGATTAGATCATTGATAAACTCCAATGAAGAATTATGTTTAGATGTGTAATTATTAATAAATATAAGAAATAATAGATTTGGATTAAATCCTTGATGAACCTCTGATGAATTGCCGTATTTACTAAACATACAATTATTAATTAAATTTGAAACAATAATGCTCCTTAAAAGAACTGGGCGACTTAGCAGATTACCTATAAGCAGAGATTACTAATGGTAAACTAATCGATCAATATCAGGAAAATAATCAAGTAATCGAAATTAGTGTTTCCGATTATTACTTATTTCATTCACTCCCAAAATCGATTAATCTAAGTTACGATTAAATAGATTACTACAAAAATTATCAAGGAACCAAAATTACTTGTTCCAAATATTATTATTTTTTCAATTACTCCAATAAATGATTAATTGAAATTGCGCTTGTTATTGTAAAGCTACTTAGATTACTTGCCACTCTTACTAATTATGAACTGCTGACTAGAGGGAAGGCAACTGGATGGTAGCACGCAACACTAACTCTCTGGCTACTGAAGTGTTAAGTAAATTGTACATTTAATGTTTTTTTCTTCTTTACATTGTGTTATGTTCTTAATTTATAGCTGTTTGTTTCAGAATTTCGAGTAAAGCTACACACTAGACCGTCCCTAATTTAGCAGTGTAAGACTTGGGCTACTCTTATTGACCGTCTCATTATGTTTGGTGTTCGAGAACCCGCAACCCTCGGATTGTGAGTCGAGCGCCCTAACCACCTGGCCATTCCGGGCCTAGTTATAATTCTTTAATATAATCAGGTACACATTTAGAGGAGGGATCCAGGAGGTCCAGACCCCCACCCCATCTACTTTTTTCTAGAAATTAATATATATTTTTTATAAGCAGGCGTGGATTTAGAGAAAGAGGTCCAGTGGGCCAAATGCCCCACCCATATTTTCTAGAAATTAATAAATATTATTTAGTGTCATATAAGCAGGCGTGGATATAGAGAAGGAAGTCCAGTGGGCCAAATATCCCACCCATTTTTTCAGAAATTAATTATAATATTATTTATGTTGTATAAGCACGGCTATTATTCAGATAATGTTTCTTTTTTAGGGGTCCTTGTCCGTATTTAAATTTTTGAATAAGCAACCTTACATTTGGTTAGTGTCTGGGTCTATTTCTATTTCGCATTTCAATGTATTTTTCCCTGTCCGTTTCCGCAGCCGTCAATGCATTTAAATGTAACTCAGTCATTCCTCACATTGTGGGAGGGTTGTGGTGTTCGGGTATCAATCATTGTCATGATTAATTTCAAATGTTGCCCAAAGAGAGGGTTTACTAGAAACAAACACTCTTAGTCTTCTTCTTCTTCTTTTTTTTTTTAGTTTGGTTGGTTGGTTGTTTAGCACAAAGCTACACAATAGGCTATCTGTATCGTGCCGACCACGGTTATCGAAACCCGATCGTTAGCGTTGTAAACATACAAACATACCAATGAGCCACTGTATGGTTTTTGTTTGAGAAATAGGGAAAAGAGAATTGATGAAAAGAAAATGGGAGAGATCAAACTTTTCAGATTTCTGGTAATTTGTATTTAACTTTTCATGGTTATACCATAGCTATTCAGAAGGTTGTAACTGTTAGGAAGGGAGTGCAGTTATTCCCTGGAATAGAGTTACTGATCACGTTGAAAAATATAAAAATCAATTGGGGCATTAGACTCATCTCCAAAATACTTTGTACTGTCAGTAGTATATCTCACTATAGGGCTGTGTTTAAAAAATAGGACAAGGGAAGGGGGATCCAAATCGTAGCGCAACTGTGACTTATTATCTACAGTAGTTCCAATATCTCTGTTTAGATTCGACAACAACATAATACGGTGAAGTTAAAATTTTAAACTAACTTAGTCCTCATTTATAGCCTATATCGCGTGTAAATGTACTTCAATAATTCCAAATGGTGTTGGGTTATCTGCTCCTCATTTATAGCCTATATAATGTTTAAATGTACTTCAATAATTCCAAATGGTGTTGGGTTATCTGCTCCTCATTTATAGCCTATATCGTGTTTGAATGTACTTCAATAATTCCAAATGGTGTTGGGTTATCTGCTCCTCATTTATAACCCATGTCATGTTTAAATGTACTTCAATAATTCCAAATGGTGTTGGGTTATCTGCTCCTCATTTATAGCCTATATCGTGTTTAAATGTACTTCAATAATTCCAAACAAATGGTGTTGGGTTATCTGCTCTTCACCAAATTTCGAGGAAGTACACATCAACATTTGGGAATTAGAAACTCCTCGTAAACCTTAGAAGGATACAGACACCCATAGTTAGTAGCTATGCGACCACTTAAGTGTAATCATTAATTATTATATAATAATTGCTGTCTTTAAGGGAGGCGTCAGAAAGACCGCGTGTATCAGCGTGAGCTGGGATTTGAAAGGTTAATATGGTATCCATTCATTTTGTTTCTCATTGATACTTGAAACAACTAAATATTTCAACGGTGTGAAGATGGTTGATTGGGTTTTGCTGACTTCTATAGTAGTTTGGCTGCAGTATTATTGATTAGTTGGTTGTAGAAGGGCTTCTTTTGCCTTTCATTTCCTTATATTTGGTTCATATCCCATTATTTTAGTGTCCTTTCGCTTTATTATGGGTTGTTGCAGATAGGTCGTTATTACAAGATCTTTATATCTATTGTGCTCCTAAATTTTGACTTTAGTTGATCGTTTTATTCCAGCAATGTACTGGTGTCCACATTCATAGCGGCTGCCTAGTCAAAGCGTTCGAGAAACTATGTTGCTACTTCACAACTACCTGGTGTAATTTTAGTTTTAGATAGTTGTAATTGTTTCACAACTACTTGGTGCAATTGACCGGCTCTCAATCATTTGATGGATCTCCACTCGAGAGAAACATCCAGGTGTCTTCTTTGAAGTCTAGTCACAGCTCATAAACAATATAGAACACTTTAAATTCAGTGATTCACTTCAAAGAGACAAATATACCTTCGACATATCAGGTCGTATTACTAATTCTCAGATGCCTGATGTGCATAACAATGAGTTGAGAGGGGTAACAGGAATTATTTAATAACAGTGTTTTTGTCTTGGCATAGTTATATTACAAATTCAGATTGTGATTTAACTGCTTTATGTATATCCTTTCAAGCCCAGTGACTTACAGTTATATCCTTTAAAACCTCGTGAGTTATTTTAAAATTTGTGTCGCACATTCAAATGTTGTAAACAGAGTGATTATAATTATAATTTGAGCGTAGTGACCTATAATTAATGTATTTTACATCTAAAGTTTTTTACCTGTGCGATTATTGATTTTGTTGAACTTCTACAGTGATAACAATGAGTTAATTATAATTATACACAATCGCGGTACCTTAATTACACATTCCAGAAATTTCAACTGATGTAAGTCATCCATTGTTAATGTTCGATCAGGATCATCACAAAATACAGCATCAAGTTCCTTCCTAACTTTTTCTTGGATGTCAGGGTACAGCCCCAGAAGATAGATCGTCCAACTGAGTCCTGATGCAGTGGTATCGTGTCCCTAGATGACAGATTATGCATCTTATATTGTTACAATAAGTACTAGGAATTTGGGAAAGCTAACAGCTAGTGGCAGCCCAAGACTACTATTTGAACAACACAAACTTGTTTAAAACTTAATTTACGTTTTAGTGTGCGACTTCATCTGAAGGTGCAGTAAACAGAAACACTGAATTTGTTTTGTAATTATACTGATGTATTATTAATTTTTGTACTTCACAATACGGAACTGAAGTACAAATTTTTCTCATAGCAATCTTTTAATAATCATTTATTGTCAATGTATCTTAATGCTTAAGACCAAACAGAGTCACTGTAAGACAGAATATAAAAAACAATATCACAAAAACTTTGACTAATTCATGTATAACATATTGTATGCTATTAAAAATGGACGAACAATCTGCCACATTTATTACAAACACTTAGTCTAGCAAGAAACTGTTTTTATAAAGCGCAAACTTCTCGTTAGTGTTATGTACACACGAAGGAAAAAGACAGTACAATAGATAGTGAAGTACAATTAATAATCGGGTTTACAACAGTTAGATTTAACAAGTGATAAGGCAGCGAATTCGATAAAGAACAGAACAAGAATTTTTTAAACATAGAATATTATTTAAAAAAAAACTAAAACTAATTACTTTCGCTAAACAGAAAACAACAGTAACGTTTTTGATTAAACATTAATTTCTCCGCATCGGCCTTCGTTACTACAGATTATATTAATAAACTTACAGCAAACATGAACGTGTCCACTTCTTCCCGAACGTCTTCCTCACTCAGAGAGTTGTTGTGCATATGCAGGCGGAGCAAGATCTCTAAGAAAGTTTCTCTTTTATTTTGGTAATCCTCCTTGCTTATGCTGTCTACTCCTTTGGTCTCTTTCAATAGCCTATCCTTGCGTATTTTAATGACCTGAGATTGTAGGGAACGCAATAATCGTACAGAAAACTCAGTATTCTCGTTTCTTTTTTGAATTTCGACCATAAGTACAAATAAATTACTTAATCACAGCTTATATTTAATTTCACTTTAAACATAAGAAACATGCAACAATTGTAATTGTTTCTCATAGTGTTATGTAATGACACAAACTGTTGTCTTATCTTGGATTTTCTTAATACAGTTTATGTATAATATCATCAACGTATTGAGAAAAACGAACATTATCTAAATTGAAACTTCAATTTCTGGCTGAAAATAATATCTTAGATTTAATGATATTAAGATTTATTTTCTTTGCGCCAGGGTAAAATTGAAGAGATAATCCTTGACTTACAGGTCAAATATATTATTTGATTCGTCTAACCTCTACTGCGGACTGGAGTTGCTCATGTTCAAGACTCATCAGCACACTAGGGTCAACAAACCAAACAAATTAGTATAAAAGTATCATTTCACTCCAGCTAAAGAATGGTGAGCCACTAGAGGGTTGCGCCCTCTTTTTAACCACGAGATATGATTAGAAAAAAGTAGAAATGAAAAGATGATAGATAAATAGGGGAAAGTATATT